TTATATTTATTAATTATATTTTATATTTTTATATTTTAGCGCCTCGCTTCGCTCGGGCGAGCGCCTAGCGCCTCGGGCGTTTTTGGACCTTGGCGCCTAGCGCTTTTTAAATCACTGGGACCATGTGAACTTGTATTTTGCTGGACCCAAGAGCAGAAAATCTATCTTGTCTAAATATGATACTGTGTCTCTTTGCTCTATTGTGAAATTTTTTTGGCCATGACAAACTTTGTCAAATTAGATGCTAACTACAATGTTGGTGTTTGCTGGACATTAATAGAACACACTTGCATAATCAATATTTTGGGAAAATTCTTTCTGAATCTTTGCTGATTATTAGTCGCTATGGCTAAGTAAAAAGGAATAAGTATATGATCCATGCATCTCCAAACCATGACCTGTCAGACACCAATCACTTTCTTGTCCTCACCTATCTCTTTCATAGTACCACTTCATTGACAGTACCTAAGGTGATGTTTCTGTTTCATGTGGTTGGACACGGTGTTGTAGTAAGGCTTGTATACCTGGTAATACAGAAACATACCTTATATACTTTCTTGGTGGTGAATGTATTATCAAGCTTCTGCATCTTGCTAATACTTCTACTGATCTTCTCTTCAAATTTCTTTAAGGTGCCTTTAAAACATTCAGAAGATAAATGCTTTTGGCTTCTTGTACATATCTAATTATTGTGGTTTTTCCATTCTGCCTTCTTTTTAATTGCAACTTATTCTTTCTCCCGATTACTGTTGATTTTTTAAGTCAAAACACGTAAGTTACTGGACTAGATCATTTGTCATTGATAATTCTGTCTGCTGATTTCTTCTTTTTTATAGGCAATCAGTGACAGTGATATTCGTAACATTGTCCTCTCTTATCTCGTGCATAATTGTTTCAAAGAGACAGCAGAGACATTTCTTACTTGTACTGGTATGAATCAACCTGTTGATTATCTTTTGGACATGGAGAAACGGAAATGTAAGTTACTTCTTGTTGTAACTTGTCTTAACTTGTGTTATTTTTAACATTAAGAAAAACACCATGCTGTCTCCATCATTGTTACATATGATGTTTGTTGTCCTCAGATATTTTAAAATAGGGAAATGTAGACAATCATAAAAAAGTCACCCTATCATTCATGCGCTGCAAAGGCTTCAGGGTCTACTGATTAATGCTTCTGGCTGGTCAGAAAAACACACAATACACTCAGCTAGATGTTTAAATGGTTCTAACAATTCTATCACAATAGCAACATTGTCCAAAGACTCCAAACTGTACTTGCTTTTAATGATGATTTGGAAATATCTTTTAGTTAATGCTTTCATTAACAGTTTAGTGGTTTATATATATATATATATATATATATATATATATATATATATATATATATATATCTGAATTCACTGCAATCATGCTGTAGTTTATTGTAAGCCTTTATAAATAAATAAATTTTGTCAAATGTAGTGATGAAAGACTGGAATGATGATGACCTTTCCTTTCTCTCTTCTGTCCATTGGTGTCATGAGGGCATATCTCTTGTGATAGACGAGAAGTTTCCATTTCAGTTTGGGAGCTTTTCGTTTCTGCAGTGTATCTTTGCAAGGGTATCTTTGGTGTAATATTTTTGTAGAAAGGTCTTCTCGGGCTTTTTGATTTTTTAATCTTGTCATAGGTTGGCATTGCCAATGAATGAAAAAGAAGTTGGACAATGTGAACCTTGGTGAGTTCTTGATCTTTTGCTTTCGCTCTGAAGAAATTGTTGATATGCTACAACCTAAAGATCAAGAGCATCAATACTAAAAGTTTCTTTGCTTGGTGGAAAGACTTGGATTGAATTTCCTTCAAATTCAAACTCATTTATGTTTGGCAAAGAAATATGAGAATTGGGACTATGAATAAGAGAGGTTGTTTCCATGATAAACAATGCCATCCATTTAATAAAGGAGCTAAATTATTTTAGCAAATCCCTGTGGGGTCATGTTTGTGTGTGGTTGTAGTCCAAGGCGGTGTTACATCTTATTTTTAACTACTTGATGCCTTGACATTGGATGACTTTTATATTCTTGTATGACGCTTTTAGGTTTTTGTCTAAGGTTAGTTATGCTTTGATTAGGTGTAGGTTGCTTGTACATGGCAGTGGAACCAACTGTTGAGTCAAATAATAATTTTATATTCGACTGTCTCCAGCAATACTCCATTTCACCATGGAGGGGAATGCTCTTAAGGCAATAGAGCTTACAGAACAACTTGTGCCCAACTTACTGGAAGATAACAAAGACCTGTGTTTTGATCTACTAAGCCTTCACTTCATTGACTTAGTACGTTCACGGAAATGGTAAATGATCTTTTGGCAAATGTTAGGTTCTGTTTGATACCATGAGACTTCTAATGTAACTTATCCTTCATTGGCAGCATGGAAGCTTTGGAATTTGCTCAGACCAAGTTAACGCCATTCGGAAAGGTGCCCAAGTTTGTTGGGAAACTGGAAGTATGATTCTGAAACTAACCCGATCTTTTTATTTCTTTAGTATTGTTGTTATAATAAATTATGTAGTCATTTCTCATACTAGCTGATTCATCAGGACTTTATTACACTCTTAGCTTATGAGGAGCCTGAGAAATCTCCGATGTTTCATCTTTTGAGCCCAGAATATCGAGAAAACATTGCAGATTGTCTGAATCGAGCTATCTTGGGTATGTTACTATATCTAAACTTTTTTTTGATGTTGCTTTATATTCATCACGATGAAGTTACTAGCCTTGGAGTTATCTTTAATGTTAGATCGTGCTAATCTGCCAAGCTATTCTTCCATGGAGAGGTTGATACAGCAAGCAGCTGTGGTTAGACATGTCCTACATCAGGAACTTGGTAAGGTTAGTAGTTGTTTTGTGTGACAATCTAGACATTTGCCTGTTTAGTGATTTCTATCATACAACATATGACAAATTTGATGCCTTTTCTATTTGCTATTTGCTGACTTTGTATACTAATAGACATCACATGTTACTGCTAAGCCTTGTTGTACTGCTTAATGCTATATTAAGTCTCGAGACTACATATCCTTGAATTTGAAGGTTGGCATAGAATCTGGAGTTGGTCCTTCCATCCCAATCATCAAATGCTTTTGCCATTAAAAAATCAATCTAATGCAAACTATTATTGTTGTATTACTGAATGTTTTTTAGTTTCTGAAGCCTTACACATTTAAGTTTGTACTTTAACAGGATGGGCATCCACCATTTTCATTGAAGGCCTTTTTGGATAACTAGTTACTGCAGTTATGTGCTTGATGAACTTTGCCTATGTGGTCATGGTTGATATATTTCTCCTGAGAATCTTCTGAGCTGCCAATTATTGTACAGTCAGCCACCTATAATTAAAAGCATGATCATATATGAATCACATTTGGTTGTCTCTAATGAGTATTTGGTTGAGAAAAGCTGCTTATGGTTGGATGGAAGAGGGATTGTGTGCATTTGTGAGAAACAGCCCCCAATATCTTCTAAATTAACATGTTCAGAAAGATTAGTGACATGTTTGTTGTCTTCTGCACTATTCTGAAGACCATCCAAATGCTTGTATATGTCCAATGCAAAGTTTAGTTTCCAGTGATTTTGAAATGACATGAATTGTGAATCACTACCGTTTGCTGATGACATGGTATTCCAGATAAAATTTTAGATTGGTTGAGCAGTAGATGCAGCAGGCTTCTAAATTAGCTGTTCCAAGTTTGCTCATCTTCTGTGAGTAATAATTCATCTTGCCTGACATGGACAACAAAGCACTAATGACCCAAACCAAGTCTATGTGATGTCAAACCAGACCTGTAACTTATTGACCCGAGTTTGCCTAAAGAAGTCTAAGATACAACAAACGAAGCCTTTTATTGGCACAAGCAACCACTTTGAGTTAATTAATAACGAGTCACCACCTGCAAGTTGAGATTGTGTGTTTGAGCCGTGTTCATGTTTTTTTTTTTTGTTGTTGATATTTTTGAGTATTTTGTTTTAGTTAGCATGTACGTGACAGAAAGAATTATCTTCAGTTTCATTTTGCTTTAAAGGAAGAATTAGCATCATGGACATGTGTCCGACACTTATTCTTTTGTCGTTGAGATGGTTCTGTTGAGGAAGTTGGCTAAGTGTCGGACACATGTCCATGATGCTAATTCTTGTCTTTATGTTGTTTTTTATGTTTTCGAGTGTTTTCTCATAGATAACATATACATGATAGAAAATACCATCGTCAACCTTATTTTGCTTTAAAGGATTTTTTTTTTATATTTTTGTCTTATGTTTCCGATCGTACAACGTTATACAAACGAGAAAATAATCAAAATAGCTCTGTTCTCGTGTGCCATCTGCTAATGGTCTTACGGTGAGAATGAGAATTGTCAACTGTCTCGATATCTTGGAATCTCTTGGGTGGAATTAGACCGAATGGAGCCTTTGTTATATATTTGAGAGGCAATGCAATATACCCACTTTCTATTTGACGAAAATGTTACCCACTTTCCATTTGATGAAAATGTTTGGTGAATATTAGGTCTGCACTTGCCTTCGGAACCTCTTCATGTGAGATCGTTCAACTCGTTTAGAAAGAAAATTAATTGCTTTGTATTGCTTACAATCCCAATTATCTTATACTTTTCATGCGCAATGACAATATATTATCTGCACATTCATCTAACCTTAGATCCGATCCTCCCTGACAAATATCGCTTAGGAGCCACTTGCCTTGAGCAACCTCAGCTACAACATGACATTTCGGAGCTATCACATTAGTTATACGAGTTGAAGTTTCAATCACAGCTAATGAGAATATTGGAGCCATCTGATACATACGATAAGTTCAATGTGGAACAGAGAATGAGCAAACAACAAACAAATAAAGTCATCCACATGCACACTTCCATTTCACTTCTATGAACGTAGTCCATATAAAAACAAACGGAACATCAAATTGGCTGTTAAAGCAATTACCAGTGAGAATATAAATCAACAGGCAGCAAAAGCCTCTAAAATGTGGAAGTGTACATACAAGTATTGGCCTACTACGGACGTAAACTTCCATATCTGAGAGGAAGCCTAAAAGCATGTCATCTTCATACCCATGTAGATGTGGTTAAAAATGATCATATTCATGATCCCATTTCTACCCAAAATGGCAAAACATCAAACTTGGTACTATTCTAAGTATTGACAGAACCCATAGACAATACCAAAATCCATCCAAACGAAGCTATCAACAATAGAACATGACTTCCTGCACATTATGCTTGATTAAAGGAAGTTGCCGCACTTCAGTTGACGTGTTCTTGCTCCTACTCCTCCCACCAGCAGACGTTGATCCTCCATCGGACAGCTCACCCTCCATATAATAGCGTGCACGAAATGCTGCTAGATGTGCATAATACGCGGGAGGAACTGTTGAATAAAAGAAGAAAAAGAAAGGAAAATTGAGACTGCTGAGGGTTCAAGAATACGTAGGCAGAAACCACACGAACAGATGTGCAACTTACCAATCGAAACAGAACGAGTGCACCGAGCATAACTGTATTTCACAAGCAAGAAAACATGAGCATATCGACAAAATGACACTAGTGAATTTGAAGCACAATACTCCCAGAAAATTAGGATTTCAACCTGAACTAAGACGTGACCAGGCCATTAAAATGATAAAATGAGTTTAAAGCTTACGTATAACACAGATTGTTGGTTAATCTCTGTAGATCGTCAGCAGAAAAATGATTCTCATCAAAAAGAACATGATAGTGTGTTGGTCGGCTAGTTCCCTGCAAAATGAAGAAGATAAATTTTAGGCTTTGAAAGCAAGAAAAGGATTTGGTAGCAGAAAATTTATTGCTGAAGAGGTGTAGACAAAATGGACCTGTATGCCAGCATGGCTACAGAGAAAGAAATCAAACTCCGTGGGGTGACAGATCATTTTGTCAACCACAGTTCCTAAACACAGCCAACATATGTTAATTCTTAATCATGGTACAGCAATTGACAGTAAACTTGACTAACCTGGTAAGATATTCCCACTTCTATCAGTCAAATCCCGGCTTCCATGGACTTCAGGAAACAGCCGTGTGTGGTGCCTTTTTTGAACTACCACAAATGTAGTAGGGGGCAGGTAACCCTCTTCCAAAGAGGCACATGCCTGGCATGAACATAATCTAGTCATCACTAAGGTAGGTCATGCAAATTAGCAACAGCGACAAACGAAATAAAACAAATAAAAGTGAAAGCAACCCTTGCACTCTGCTGAGCAAGAAGCATTAGGTACCTTTCTGATAGCAGTCATTTCATGAAGCAGGACCTGGCTAAATTGTCCTTCACTCACTCCATCCCTGCATATATCACAAGTTTGCTAAATTCAGGTTGTGCAGCAAGAAACCACATTTGATATTTGAAGTAGCAATGGTTACCTGTAGAATATGATTCTATGAGGCTTCTGTTTAGTAGCTCTAAAGAAAGAAAGCAGTAGTTCCCTGCATAACAATGAAACAACAATTCAAATTCATACCCAAAGCCTAGTAGTTATTTCTTGTGCCTGTACCTAATCATGCCTCCATAGATGGTGCCCTTCTGTGGATCCTGTGTAACTTTAAACAAATCCTGTATCATCTCTTCCCGGTTTTGTTGGGCAGAGACTAAACCTTTATACTTGGTAACTTCAGGCCAATCTATCGATGCTACAACCTACAAACACGAGGAAGAAATTATACAGAACAAAGCACCATAAAAGTTTAAGGTACCATAATCAGATTTCTTCTTTTATCTGAGGCAGTTGTCACTTTCAGTTTCCACTTTCACGAATCTATAAGTGTGAAACACATAAAATGCAATACTGGCTAAGAGAAGGAAAAACAAACCGCAGCAATTGAGGAGGCATCTTCTCCTGGGGCTGGATGTGTGACATCAGCCCCAAATATGATTGTTGGCTTATCTGTTACAAAGGGAATTCGATAGTGGAGGGCATCCTCAAGCACTGTGTTACGTCCTCCAACCTGTTTAGAGAATGTGTGAAAGTCATTATCACACAATTAATATGTATTAGCAAAACTGACGGAACAGAACTAAAGTACCTTCACATTGATTTTCAAAGCAACATTTTCCAAGTACTGATTGTTACATTTTGCCACATGTTTTGGCAAACAACATTGTGAAACAATCCCAAGATCAGTTTCACATATTCTCTTGATTCTCCCTGTGGAGCAAAATGGAAATGTAACATAGAGACAAATGTATCTCAAGCTTATACAAAAGAAAATGTGCATACCATAGTGACCACTCTTTTCTGGCAAGACAATAATTAACAATTGAATATGTCTTCCACTCTTTCCCAAGCAATTTAAGGACTGACTGTGAACTTTTCTTAAAGCTGTTTCCATGCTATCAGGGTGAACGGCCCAGATGTCAACAAAAGGTCTCGGATTAAAAACCTTCAGATTTTATAAAAAGGTTAGTAAACCAAATGGAAGAACAGTTATGTTTGGGACAACAACAAGAATTTATGTACTAGTACCATGCCAATGTTATTACACATGTTAACAAGACCACCGCAGAATCGGTCGATCTCATCACCACGAAGACGTGAAAAACTTAAGCAAGTCCAGTGTTCTACATTGCCACCATTGACCATTCTCTGTGGATCCACCAGGGAGGATTAGTTCAAATATGCATAACTTGCACATTCATTTAAGTCTGTATTTAAGGAGTTGTATATCCATTATCATTACCTAGTTTAAACTATATGTAGTTTAAAAAGAAAAAACAATAATGAAAATTTGTCAGAAATAAAAATGCTAAAAAACATAAAATCAAAATATCATAGCTTTTACAGAAATCCAATTAATGAAGGTCATAAAATACACACAAGAACTGCAGACAGACAAGCACCACATCAAGTGGTAGCAGGCATGTGTTTAGTTGGGCACCTAAACATAGTCTTTTGGAGAAAGGGAAAAAGCAGAGTATTTTTCTTAGAAGTAGCAGAAAGTTACCAATTATTTTGACCTTATTGATCATGTTGTAAGAGTAGCAACAAAATGACCTGCTATGCTTACCTTATTGATCATGTTCCACTGACCAACATTAGGACTGCACAATTTCTCTCTCCCTGACTCATGATATTTCAGCTGAAATATTCAGAATTGATCAGCTTCACATTACGGAATTATGATGAAAAAAGTAATGTATCAAGACATGGACATAAGCATGCAAAGTAGATAGATGAACACTTCACAAGTAGATGCATACAGATAATTAACAGAAGACAATTCTAATTGAACCACATTACCCTAGGTGGTGGCAGCACACGAGCTTCAACAGGAGTAAATTCATTCTTAATCCTAATGCCAAACTCCTTCACAAATTTGTCATCATTGAACTTATTCAGTCTGACCATCTGCAGCAACATTTAGTTATAACTAAAGTCGGTCACCAGGAGAAAATGATAAAGTATCAACACCTAGAAATTGAATTAAATTCGACCATTGTCAAAGCCTTGTACAAACACACAACAAAAATGTAGATTCCCAGAAATAACCATATTAGCAAAACTTTCAACCGGAATAATGTACCTTAAAGCTCTAAGTAAATATACTTGCATAGCTTCTTTCAGTTTTTAAGAAAGAGTATATTTGATTTATAATTCAGTTCACTATATACCTCCAGGATGCTCCTCTCCCGATCTCGAGGCCGTTGACATGTTGCTTTCAATATGCTAGTCACCTGTCGATCATTAAGCTTCTTTGTAAACCTTTGTCCTTCTATAATTCTACAGACCTAATCATCAATTCATATAGATCATTATTAGAAAAAATCAAATTTAAGCACCAAAATTGTGAAACAAAGAGTAAGACAACAAACTATTATATGTTCATAAAATAATAGACCTCCATTGGCAAGTATGTAGGTCTGGCGTCACTGCCAGCTTGTAGACAAGGCCATGAAACATGCTTCAGAGAACATTGATACCGATCTCGAAAATATTGCACCACAGATAACTTTGTTCCCGATTCATCAACTGGAAACCTGAACAAAAGGGACATAATTCACTTTTTATCTAACAAAATTATAAAAAAAAGGGATAAACTAAGAGGGGGAAAGACAAAGGACATTATTTCACTCATGGGCATTGAGGTTATCCCCGTAATTTTGTAACGTCTGCGGCAATTTCTATTGTGCATGGCCTCAACTTTTATTCCTCTTAGAGCTTTCTTTATCTACCAAAGTCAAAAGACAGAAGTGGAAAGAGAGAATATGAGAATGAAAAAACAAAAGAAATGTATTGTTGAATCATTAAGCAATTATCAGTATCCAAACATAATAATTTAAATGGCTAAAGGTTTCAAGGATATTAACCTTAATACGATCTGGGTCAGACAAGGGTCTCATGATATCATAGATGTTAAGATACTCTGCTACAAATTCCACAACAGTCACGGGCTTATAGAATGAGGTCGCAGAGATATCTGGAAACAAACATGGGATGTAAAAGACTTGCTCAAATCCATTATCAACATTGATAACAAGACAACTGAGGCAGATCATAATACATTTAAGACAATTGGAGTATTTATTTCAATGTTGTCCCCAAGTTTTATATATCCATTGTCAGCAATGTGCAGCACCAAAGGCATCAATCAACAAGTTGTCTGGACAGTATGCACAAGTACACAATATAGAACCTGTGTCCTCATAATGAATAATGGATAAATTGAGATGACGAAAGACAAAGGATGGTATGCATAAGTACACAACTAGTTGACATCACTTTATATCTAACAACAACAACAAAATCATAAAGTCTTAACTCTTAACTATTTGGGGTCGACTACATGGATCTTTAGCTATTATTAAGATCTATAAAGAGTTATATCTTTAGTTATGAGTATTTTTAAATCTTTATTTATAATTTCTATCAAGAATTTTTTAATCTCCCTCTACCTATTCTCATATTACTGATAATAATCATATCACCTCTTCTAACTATCACATTTCTTAGAAATTGTATGCAAGACAAAGATATAGTTCAACAAGCAAACAGACAAATCTGTACATAAGCCATAATACCTGTGTTCAAAGATAATCCCATCTGCGTTGGACGAAGACTCTGGAAATACCCCCTCCAGCATTCCAAACCCTCACCTATATCACACTTATGCCCAAACATGGGAGAAAAGAATGACCGCGAAGAGGTGACATAACTGTAAACAATGATATTAGAGTAGCTGAAAAGCACCACAACTTAATTGGAAAACTTTAACTATTTTACAAAACGTTACTGAGAAGGAATTAAAGACAGTTTACTTTGCTGAAGGTGACTCCCTGAGCACAATATCAAGAGCTTGGATAGTCTCTTGTGGAGCATCCATTTGTCTGCCCTGTAAAAAGTTTCTCAGATGATCGAGATCTGCTTGCCCAGCAAGCTTAATTGTCACTTTGAATTCCTTTTCCCTGATGAATTGAAGAGCAGTTGAATCAAATGATAACTCATTACGGGCATAATAAACTATAGAAGTTCCTTTCTCAGGCAGGTAAACCTGGTTTTGTCCGTCTTTTCTTCATCAGCTAATTTGATCACAAAAGCTTTATCTGTGAAAGGCAGAGGTCCAGCAGTATACAAGCTCTTCCGTCCATCGTAAACCGGCAATCGATTTCCTAAAACTCCATTCTTATGCATCCTAACAAGCTCAGTGATTATTCTTCTGTTGGTAATCCTGGATGTACATTCGGGTGATATTGCTACCTAATCATTAAAACAAGTCAAAACTGAATTATTATATGCTACTTCCAAAGTAGGCACTCAAACTCTTTTAAGCAAGCATTGCTGACTTCATTGTAATTGTAACCACAGTATTCCTAATCAATACAACTTATAGTGATGAGTGATCAAATAGACGAATCGCATAACTGTTAACAAAATGCTAGGACAGATACATATTCACTTTTTATAATATAAATCAATGCAGTAGATGGAAATCAAGACATCTTTTAGGAGAAGCGAAGAATCGGAACTCGTTACGCAAAAAATTTCAAAGAACTCTGAAGAAAACCAAAAGTTCCTCAATCAGAAGGTAAAGAACAAAAGCTTTTGAAGAGAAAAAACCTTCAAGCAAACCACTTTTATGTGACAATAAGCAAAATCTAAAGTTCATATATCGCTCCGAAAACGTACAAATTTAAGAAAATACTGCATAGATTTCAAAGAGAAAGCTGAACAGTTAAGCCGGAAATCCAAGATGCCCTCGAAAAATCAAAAATAAAAATGATCCTAAACATACCAAAAGAAACACAAACTAATAAGCTTAGTATGCCAAAACTGGATCACAAACCAAGGATAAATGGGACTTTTCTGGTGGAGAGCAGAGAGAACATGTTCAAAAGGCCATCACAGTCTGTAGCAGTCGTAACAAAAACAAACAAGAACAAGACCCGAGTGATCTCACATCGTAGTGGCAGATACTCTTATCTGCAACCTCGACGAGGAAATGGTTCGCCCTCACGATGCACGTCACCCCCGCCTTCCCGAATCCGGGCCGAGCCGGAGGCCTCAACGCCTTGCTCGACGCCGGCGTCGACTGAGTCAGGGTAGCCTCTGGCTCCGCAGCCGCAGGTTCAGGATCCCTAATCGTCAGCCGTTGCTCCAGCTCCTGGCTCAGCGACGTCGAGGAAGTCCCAGCGGCAGCAGCTGCCGATGATGACGGGACATCAGCCGGAGGGGAATAGTAAGACGTGGTGGGCGGAGGAGCGCGCTGGCTCATCATGGCAGGCGGCGCAGACGGCGCCCCTCCACCACCACCGCCACCGCCACCGCGGCCGGCGCCACGTCCCCTTCCGTTGCCTCCCGGGCCACCTCTACCTCCCCGCCCCCCGCCGCCGGTGGGGTACGCCGGAGCGACGCTGGGATGCTGCTCCCTGGGGTAATCGCCTCGGCCGCCTCGCCGACCGCCGCCTCCACGCTTCGACATCAGATCAAAGAAACCCCGATCGCGTACAAACAAAAGTAAAAGTAGAAGAGTCGAGGCGAGGTAAGGCCTTATATAGGACGTAACAATGCGAATAACTTTAAGGCTCCCACGCCCCAACCACTCACTGTGTCAGAGTACGCTCTCTAAATCCAATTGACTCGACGAGTGTGAAGGAGAAGACAACGTCACCGAAACGTCGACCCACCCACTCCCCTTTTGGCGCCCATCGAGGCCACCTCGTACGGTGGCGGCTTTGCCCACCGCTCATACAGTCTACCTCATCAGAATGACTACACTACGCCGACTAATGATCATAAATCTCCGGGAATGCCTCCATGTCAGTTGCTTCGGGTGTAAGAGGGTATTTTTGCCTTCGTCGTTATGCTGACGACGAACGCGAACAAAAGGTGACGTCGTACGCTCCCAAACCCCAAGCACTAACTGTGTCGCGTGCGTCACCAAAACGTCAACCCACGCACTCTCGTCCGAAGGCACCCGTGGGCCCCGCAGAACGGACGGGCGACAACGCCCATCGAGCCCACCTCGTAACGTGGCGGCTTTTCAAGTCTACCTCACCATAATGACTATAATACCCCACACCGATGACCATAATCTCCGGGAATGCCACCATGTCGGTTGCTTCGGATGTAAGAAAGGTATAGTGTTTTGCCTTCGTTGTTACGCTAACGACGAACGCGAACAAAAGGCCAAATGCGTCACGCATCGGTCAACGTACCGTTCGGGTGGGAAAAAAACGATGGATAATGTTTCGGGCCGCAGCGTTGATGTTGCCGTGCGGGCGGAGCACGATCCTCGAAGCGGGGAAGACGAAGCAAACGAGACGGCGTGGTTCACAGATCGATTACGAGTAGTTTGGTCGGGAGAAGATGCAATTCAATGCCGCAGCGTTGATGTTGCCGTGCGGGCGGAGCCCGATCCTCGAAGCGGAGAAGACGAAGCAAACGAGACGGCGTGGTTCACCGATCGATTACGACGAGTAGTTTGGTCGGGAGAAGATGCAATTCAATTCCGCAGCAAACGAATCCGATCCCATGCGGCCGTGGAACAGACGACTGTCCTTCTTTCGCGGGCCCACCACGAGTGCACGGTTCTTGGGTGGGGCCGGTGTGTCCCACCCCGCGAGACTTCGACTTTGGAGTCAACACTGCTGCTTCCACGTTCTTTCTTGAAAGCCAAGCAGGGATACGACCACGCACCAGCGAAGCGACCAAAAGAAACCAAACAGTTGGACAGTCTGATATATATATGCCATATGCGTGTCAAAAGACATAATTCCGTACATGCAGCAACATAAAAGCTGTCTAGGATTGTTCGGGGCAAGTTCAGGGGAGGGAACCCACCCTCGATTTGTTTGGTTGCATACTTTATGATCCTATTATATTATTATTTTTTTCAAAAAAAAATGACGAAAACGAAATTAAAATACTTTATAGTTCTAAAATTTATCTTAAAAACTTTTATATTAGATTCCCTTATTTCGATAAAATTTTAAAGATGTCGATTAATTTAATTGATAAGAATATTGATTAATTTATAAATAATTTTAGTCATAGATGTTAGTCAACGGAGGATCGATATTCAATTAATTAATCTTATATTTTATCTTGATTCATAATATAAGTTTGATAATTCGCATACTTTATGAATCTGGATACGAAGAGCTGAGAGATCAATCGACCAACATCCTGCATTCACCACAAGTAATCAGAGCAATATTATAAAGGGAAAGTGTTTCCAGCTCATCTCTATGGCATGAAGAACTTCTAGATTCGAAAAACTCTTAACTACACACATCAAGATTGGAGTTCATATGGAACAATCGAACAATGCACGATATGGATGCCGTTAAACTGCCGGACCTTCCAAAACAGACTCACCGGTGACAGGTAATACATCCCACGTGCACTACTAATCTGCATGCATGCGCAGCCTCCTATATCATCGATTATAAGGTCAAAACATACCTACAGACTCGCAGAGTAGGCCGTCAATTTTGTTATTCAACACATTTATACTTCTCGCAATTCAGTCTTCAGTCCTACTGTGTCTGCCTGCTGTACATCTGCCGTCGTACCGTCCCCGACTCTGGACAGGATAAACAGAAGCAAAAGTCAGTTGATGTTCGTTATCTAGCGGCTACCACAACATTACTCCAAACTCACATCTCAGAGTTGGACACAACAGCATCATGATTGCTGGGTGTATGGACATGTAATTTGTTGTCGCTAATCAATTCCGAGTCAATTGCTTGACCCTATAGAGATAGGAAAAGGCCGACAGATAATCTATAATTTACCATTAAGCAGCTTCATGTTTTAGCTGCACAATTCTAACAAGATCATACATGCTCACTTGGGTTGGCAGTGCTAGGAGTACCTATTTTGGCCCTTGAAGGACTTCTTAGAGTACCCTGCAAATACAAAATGAAGTGGACTCAATATTATGAAAAAAAAATTACTCATAGCTTTGAACCCAAAAGTCATCTTAAATGTAGTAAATCCATGTTCAAAATTACTTGATATTTGCATTATGGTAATAATAGCATAGTAAACATGGTACATATATGTCCAACAGATACAACACGAAATTGATTAACTACATAATCGCCTTTTCTCTAGCCAATTTAATACTGCCATCCATGGTCTTTTAGCTTCATGCATTTCCATCTAATCTTTGTATCTTTTGTTAGTTTGTTTTACATATTTTCTGCCCGGCATACAATAAAACCTATTAGAGAATAGATTTGGGATACCGTGTTGCATTATTTTCTTCACTATCAACCTTGCTACAGCTTTATATGCAAAAATATTTTGAACAACCCAGACAATTTATGATGAAACATTTGAACCATAAATAGCTTATTTAAATGCAAGGGTAATATTACCAAGTTGAGTTGCAACAGTTTTATATACAAAGATATTAAAACAAGCCAGACAACTTATGATTAAGGTTTGAGTCATGGAAATAAATTCTTTGTTTATAAAGGTAATGCTACATAAGTTGGCCCTGTCTATAACCTGCATTGGCAAGAGCCTTGTACACCAGGTTGCCCTAGATGATTTATGAACGGCAGATCTATAAATTAGGTAATGCATTCAAAATTAATAAAAAGATGTCATAGTAAGTCAAATCCCAAAAATATATGTTTCCACTAATGGGTATGTTCAAAGGTCTTATGGGAAGGATGACATTACCTAAACAAATATCATGTTTAACGATGCACACGTACGTTGACATGTTTTTTTTAGTGACCAACATGCGTCACAAAGCATCCAACAAGTGCTGTCATCTGACACCAACACTGGAACACTTTGAGGTGCCTTTGCTTCATTTGATCATAGAGAAAGATTATGGATGGAAATCATGGACACGTGAATAAAGAGTTAAAGACATTCTAAATTTCACCTTATGTGGTAGCTCAGTGGAATAAAGGAGCAGATTAAGTTATACAGATTTCAGAACTTTCCATTTACTTGAAAATTATGGTTCTGAGCTTCAATATGCATGCAAATAAAGAATGATACATACATTCTTAACACACACATAAGAACCAATCCCTGCAGCTTCATCCAAGCAGTACATATAGGTCAAGAGGGGACCAAGATGCAAATTGTCCAAATCGAGCAGTATTCTTTCTTTCATACTATAGACCTTAAAACCCTTCAAAAAATTAATATAAAACCAAGCCTCGGGCAACTTTCATCCAAAATCTGTTTAGATGCATTGGATAGATTCAACGCTAGAACTAGTCCACGGTTTAGGACTTCAAACCCTTCAAGCTAAAGATTCGTCATCTCAATCCTATCTTTCACAGCAATCAAGACTCCCAACTTCCACAACTGAAAGAGGCAAAGATGAACACACAAGGAAGCAAGAACTCTGGGTGGAGCAGAAGAAGATGATGGAGAAAGAATGTACACAGTGACCTCATTCATATTTCCATGTTCTTGTTATTCTCTGAGTTCTTAATGTATTCATTCACTTCTTTGTCCTAGTTGGTACCAGCCACTAGACCCACCCAAATAGGCATCACCAACTCAGTCCACCAAAGGTTCACAATGGATCTGATACACAACAGAAGATGATTCGAAAAAAAAATGCACACAGTGATCTTACTCATCTTTCTGTGATTATATTTCTGGTAATTCTCAGATTTCATATTGTATTCGATCGCATCTTTTTCCTTAGTCAGTGCCAGCCACTGGACTGTCCACATAGGCATCACTGAGTCAGTCCATCAAAGGACATCTACGCGGTACTAAAAAGTTTCTCACACAGTCACACTCTTTTAAATGTAATGAACTTGGGTAACCTTTAGATGTCCTATCCCTCAAAAAGGCACATGCAACATCATTTACATATTTGAAGAAATTCCACATAATTATTAGTATTGTCATGCAATATCATTTTGAACTTTGATGGAGTGTCAATTGAGGTTTAAAATTATGACCTGGTAACAATACTGGAGCCTAGTTGGATTACTATATACCAGATAATAAAGTATAGATATGGTTAATACAAAACTAGAGAAACATTAGGGCATGATATTTTGTTATTTAACTGCATGTTAGCAATAAGGTATGATACAAATAGTTCTCAACAAGGACGAACCAAACAAATACTGACAGCAGTGCATACTAGTTGGATAAGAGACTAGGAGGTTGGGATCAGAGACTACTGATACAGAGCAGCATGGATTAAAATCTCAACCATACCAATTGGTACAGTCTAGTTTTCCCAGTCTAACAGCTGATCGGTATGCTGACCAAGCAAATTCAGTTGGCCCAATCTAAAGCCAGGCTTATGCCCGGTATAAGCTTACTACACCATTGGTTTTCGGCTTACTGCCAATACCTATGTCCACCGTACCAACCCCACCACCTCTTCCTTATCTCTCTTATTTTTTCCTTCTCTTCCCCTGGTAAACACAGCCCGGTAGACTGCTTGCGTTGGCATACTACTTCGATCCAATGCTTAGGCAATAGTACACAATAAAGGAATCCTTCTTTTCCCAAAACTCAACCAAATAAAGTAATATCTATATACATGAAACAATAGTTCCCTATAAACTTTTGGTGACTCATAGTATAAAACATTCCCTTGTAATGCGACATGCTTTTTAAGAGTAATACACAAGCACATTTATATATCCATATTTTTATGAAAAAAAGCACATCCAGCACATGTGCGGGCAGAATAGTGATTTAAAGAAATCTTAGAGAGATATTACTTTTATAAGATGAAGACTACAAAAATATCAATAAATAGATCAAATTAGCTTTTAACTAGACCTTGTTTGCCCACATTAGTCCGCAAGCATTGCAAAGTGACCTTGGTCCAGCAGGTCCACGCCGCATTGCTGGTGTCATTTTTTCACTAATTCCACAATTTTGACATCTGAAAAGACAACTTAAAAGTTTAGAGCAATTGAAATGACACAGTGGCACATTGATTATTTTTAGTATTTAAGAGGAGAGAATTCTGCAAAATCATGATAACAGATAAAAGTGATATGCAACTCACTTTGATTCCCTAGGAGGATCTTCTTGGATTGAGCTTTGAAGAGGATCACCGCTTGAAGAGGCCAATGCTCCTTCCTGGGTAATAGCCTTCCCTGCAAACTGCCCTTTTCGGCGCTGCATCCTGTCAAGCCATTATGCATTTAGAAAGACTTCAAGCAGTGTTAAGAAAACAATTAAGGAATAATCAAACAGAGGCATGGCCAGAATGTCCACGATCATAAAAATAAACAGGTTCTGTTGAAAATACGTGTATCACGAACAAATACACCTTTCAGTCACAAATATGATCACAATGCCAATTGATAGAAAAAGACTCCTGAGCATTCCAGAGGGCTAGTATTTTACAGATTATGAAAGTTTTAACTTGTCAATGTTCTGTAATATGTATACATATCATGCTAAACTACTATATTTGGTATGGCTATATCAGTTTGATACATTATAAAATACACATATTTCATTCAAACATGCATATTAAGCAAATTAAGATTTTAATTGAATAATGTTGATGAAATCATACTCCAACTCTAATGAAAAAGCCATTCATGCAGAAATTGGGAATACAACAGTACGTGAGAAATCAAATTCCTTGGTAAATCTAAGAGCAATAAAATAGCAATATGCCAAAACCAAATAAAAACAAAATTATACTGGTTCTATCATACTTTTCCAGAGATTTTTTTATTATTTTTTTAAATGCTTTATAGGTATTTTCTTAAAAATAATGACCTCATCGAAATTCAGTCTGCAGTTCAAGTCAAACAGTCATATGTGTGTTCTTCAATATCCTTTAAACTCTTACTTATGGAATTAATTCATGCCTGTAGATAGCACCTTATGAAAAACTGATATCAAATCTGTGAAAAGACCTAGATTATGCTAACAGCGCCCTAGAAAGGATAAACTTTAATATGTGCAGATAGCAAAAGAACAGCAAAGGACAACAATATGCATGTCCAGCAATGACTATGAGATCAGAATGCAAAGGATGATGGCACCACATTTGTTCCAAATTGTTGGAGTAATAAACGCACTGAAATCAACAATAGGATACAGCTTGAACAAAAATGAAATATAAGATAATTTTGAGAACATTTCCAAAGAGAAGCATTGAACCATACTTGATGGTACAGCAATTCAGATGGTCAAGACATCATTGGTTTCCCAGAATCCAGCCCTACCTCCCTAAAGAGCTCTTCTGATAGAACCTCAGTGCTAGAGTTCACACTAAAGGTACAACTATTGATCGGACCAGCGTGAGGTCTGATCAACAGTTGTGTCTTTCTTCATAAACACCCACCACAAAGAGAAGTTAACTTTTAAAAAATTATTGTCTTGCTTCATAAAATCCTCCTTTCTTGTTGTCCTCAACATAAGAAATAGGATGATGCAAACAAAAGAGAGGATATCAAAGTATAAAACAATATTCACTGCTTTACAACAAAGAAAACACTAACAGAGATCAATGTGACTTGATCTGACAAACAGAATAAAACTGAACCAAAAAAACTGGATGACATTTGCAACTCATTATATTTGATAGCTAACAGAAAAAAAAAAGAATTCATATTAAAATCACAACCGGACCTCAATACCTGAGGGCAACCTCTTTGCGGACATTATACCGGATTTTCTTATCAAAATTCCTTTCTTTACGCTTCTCGCGAAACCTTATCAACGAAGCAATCCTTTTTGCAGGAATATTTGTTCGATGAAGTAAATCATCATAACCCTGTTTAAATATGCAGTTAGAAACCAGTGTACAGAAACAGAATTGCCTTCAAGATGATCTAGACTAGAGGAAAGATGCAGGACTACCCTATCATCCTGCTGACCGGATAATGTCATGCCAGCTGCGCCAGTAGGTACTTCACATCCTCCCAGCAGTAACAGCACAGCTTGCACCTGCAACATTAGCATCCAATCAGGAAAGCTCAGATTCTTATTATGTTAAATGAAAATGTAAAATAATTTGATTAGCAAATGGTATTACACATGGATGACATAATTAGTATATATGATTGACAAGTTATGAATTACAAACAGAACAACCCTAGATTAGAAATTAACATATTGGGACAGAAATCCCACAGCAAAACTCCATATTATAAGTTTGTTTATATTCCACAGAATTAGACCCACAGAAAAAACATCAAAGAGAGAAATCCAGGTCATACCACTGAGATCAGATATCATACACAAATAATTATAGTAGAAATTAATCTTATTTCAGTCTACAAGAACCTAATGTCCTAGATGGAATTTCCCATCTAGGAATTTCCATGAAAATTATGGTCGACGGAAAACAATGTCTAACATACAAAAACATTTTTTTCCCACAATAATGTCAATTCTCACAAACATTGTAAATGCTTCATCATGATCAGTGAAAACACACTGGCAGATTATTCAAATATTCAATGAATTTGAAAATAGCACCCTTTCTCAAAATCAAGAATACTGCTATTCCCAAAATAAACCTGCTAGTAGGCGAAATAAAAATCTGATCAATTTAATAAACACTACCATCATCAATAAAAGGTGCATCCTACCTTAACAAACATCAGGAGTCGTTTGATTAGCCACAACGTAGCCACAAATGACATCGAAAAGTCAGCATTATCAAATGGAAAGTCCAACATATTAAAGAATGTTCAGCACAAGTCATCCATCAATTAAATCACTGACTTGATATATCACCAATTTGTTAGAACCCAAAAAAGAAACAAATGCGCGTTTCAATTTAAAAAAAAATGTCGGATTTCGACCATTCTCGTGAATGAATCATAGGCGTCAAACAGATGTGACTTAAAATGGTGCAACCAGACGCGTTTATATGCAATTCCACTAAAATGTGAAAAGGCCACCTTTAACCAAATTTAGCACAGATTCCTCCAAAGTGACAAAAATGGAGTAATTGGAACAAACCTTCTCGGGCGAGACAGAGTCGAAGACGTACACTTCGCCCTGGAACAACAGCGTGAGCTGGTTCGAGGTTACACTCATCAGCGGCGCCGCTGCATCCATAGCCTCCGCGAGATGATCCTGATCCGACGTCGGGATAAGGGACACGCCCATTTTCTCCCCACCGGTGGCGCCCTCTATGGCTCCTTGGCCGCCGCTGGCGTCGACGGCCGCGTCGTCGTGGCCGTACATGCCGAGGTCCTCAGGGTTCGCGTTCGACGACATCGCGACTGGAGAAGGTGGGCGGCCGAGGGTAACCGCGGCGGCGGCGGCCGGCGAAGTACGGCAAGCGGATGAAACCCTAACTAGAGCCCTAGATGTGGGTTTGGAAGGGGATGGGGAGGAGCAGCGATGATCGCGGCCGCTGATTTGGGCTGATGAATTGCAGGACACGGGAGACGCGTGATGGTGGTGATGATGATGATGCTGCTGCTGCGGATGATGATGATGATGGCACTTCGGCCGTAGGGGCCCTTCCCCGATGTGGGGACCGCAAATTGGTGAAGCGCTGCCAATGTCGACCGTCCAACTCGATGATGGAGGGGATGATCACGAGGAATCGTAGGCACCCATCAATGGCCCACGAATTATGGCTCACAAATACAAGTCGAAAATAATCTGTTTGATGCACAGAAAAAGTAACGTTGAAAAAAATAAAATCAAATCCATAATAATTTAATTCTTCAAAATCAAATCGATATAATTTTTTAGCTACAAATTTTGCTACTGATCCCGATTGAAAGTAACTTACATAATATAATACATTTATGTCGTATTGGAGAATTTATGCCCAATTACGTTGATGAAAAAGATAAATCGACTTCCAACTAGAAAGCAAATTGTAAGGTGAACTCCTCTCTCTAGTAAACCTAAATATATTTGAATTCTTTTCACTTTCACTTTTCATCATTATGAGGTTAGGTTAGTCATCAAGAAAAAACATCATCCTGTAGACCATTGCAATCCAAGAGTTAATACATTACAAAATACTTATCCATTCTGCGGTACTTAGCACAGAACATTAAATAATGGCACCGTACATAAGCATAAAAAGGAATTTTTCATATAAGGTAAAAAGATCACCTACACGAAACTCAAATAATTAAGAAAAAATATCTATCAATTTCCCATCAAGAAAATTTAAGGCAGAAAATCCACAAAATAAAAGGAGCTAATCATCTCAAGTTGATCTGACATTAGAGGTAGCGCCTACGAAGAGTATTTGAGACAGTAACTAAGCAACTTCCGAGCTTTACCACCATGGTTTCCATCCCAAGAATCATCTTTCTCCAAATTAGCAGCTCCATCTTTGTTCCATTTCTCAAGAATACGGGCAATTCTCTTAAGCTGTGATGAGGGTCAAGGTTAACAGGAAATTTCAGAGCCAGCCAAATAAATCAAGCATATATATTAAATTTGCCAGTTTAAATAGAAACTTGTTATTGTTCAAATGATTTAATTGATAAAAAAAAAAAAGTTCGCTGCAATGTCCTATGCTTTGTAGTACCAAATTTTTACGTTGCTGTAAAGGATACGCAGGTAGTCACTGCATACAATTTTCCCTCCACAACACAGGAACCCGAATTATCTCCTGGATTGTCCACCAGATGGCTATCAAGGTCTTCTTCAATAAGGAAAGATTTGTCCAACAAAAGCAATACAAATTGGTGCAGATTCGATGTGGTGCTAACATTCTCATCAACTTGTTGGAACAACCTAGCTAGGATGCACCAGAATGCATTTCGAGCTTGTGAATCATCGGAAACAAAAGGTAAAACATCAAATAGGCCCTGCAAAAATTGAAAATCTAGCAGGAAAAACATTGTATAAGTTGTTCTGATGCCATAACAGTATTCCAAACAGGCTTTACAGTGGAAGAATCACATACCATTCAGAATGCCCAATATCAAATGCTGCTCATCTGCTAAGGTATTTGCAATTATGATAACAGCAGAAACGCACAAGCTAGCAACCTGTTGTAAGAAATGGTAATTAGCATAAATTTTTTTCTCAAGATATCAACATTTAGCTGTTTCTTTTATCATGATTGCAATATTTCTATTTTATCATAACAGAAAGAAAGTGTGCTTAGATGTTTAGGAAGAGAGAGATGCAAGATAGGCAAGAAGAAGATGCAATCATGGCAAACAGGCCTAAACAAAAACACAACTTTGATGATCATCTCATGATTCTCATCATATAACACCTCTTTAATTAGGCTCATTTTGTAGACTTCACTTAACTCCAAGTAAATTAAGAAGACTCATGGAAAAAAAAAACTTATTTGAATGAACACCTGTACTAAACAATAATATACTCATGTTATGACTCCAACATCAGTCTCACTCAAAATAAGACTCTTAAATAACCAAGAAAAATAATGATGAAAATCTGGACAAAAATCCAAACAATAAAAAAAAACCTAAACCTAGATCTAAATGTCATTAGAGTGGCAAGTATAGATAAAAAAAACTAAACCTTTTCCTAACAGCTTAAGCTTTTGGAATTAGTTGTAACCTAATAAAAAATTCTATCATGATTGCAAAGCATGTTATGAGTTCGAACTATGTATCTATTTCCTTTAATGCATCTTCATCAAATAGGTATTTGTTAAATTATCCATTCCTTTTTAATTTGTAACGTCTTGCACTTTAATTTTAATTCACATGTCAACCCAATCCAAAGTTTTGAGTAATATGACTCGTGGACTATAGTCGTCAGCTCCACGTAACTGAAACCATGTCGACACATCATCTCCACCTAGCTGACATGCCAACCCCATTCGGCCTACGTATTACATAGGGCCAGAATCTATGATACAGACAGTGTGGTGCTAGCAAGGCGATTGACTAAACTCTATGTGGTTAGCCACATAACATCAACGGAAAGCTGAGTTGTGTAGTCTTTGCTTCGTATCTGAACAGTGCACATAACTGTTGACCTCAACCAACGATAGCATATAACACTATAAAAGAGCTCCCAGGTATTCCTCCAAGGCTTTCTAAAGACTAGTTATGTCTTATAGATTCAACATTTGATCGAATCCTTTGCATCGGAAGGGCCTTTCTCGAGCACACTCCCAATGCAAATTTTGTAGGAGAGACTCAAGATTGTGATAGGCTCGGACTCAAACCAAGGTTGGCTTTAAATCTCCGCCACATGTCGGACAACCAAATTCTGCTTTAACAAGTGATAACCAATAAAAAAAATTAAAAATGATGATCTAACTTTACAAGTCCAAATTAGACTCAACTAAGACTATAACTAATCTGTCTTATATAAAAAAAGAGATATATTTCGAAATTGTCAATTTGATTTTGTACAATAACTACCGATATTAAGTTGTCAAGATTTTCATGCTTATTGCCTACAACTTCTACATTCGACACAATAGAATAAAATATTCAAGAGAACAAAATATACAAGCGACATCTTGTAGTTTGAGATGGTCATCCAAAGACTGCTGGTCATTTTACCAGTTTACGATAATGCATGTTAGTTGTTGATTTTTATTTAACATCTTGTACTTCTTTATTTGATAAATAATAAATTGATCATGATAAAAGAGATTAAGTACAAGCTAAAGTGGCATGACTCAACAGATGCCTTCATCATGCATGAAAGTATACTGCCAAAAGGCATTTTGTTGTCTTGGTCTGGTTACTATACTATTTCTACTCTGAATAAGAAGATAAAAACAAAATGATGAGCTTTTAAGTTGGTTGAATTTTCGTGTAAACTCATAAGGTAAAATCGACCCTTAGTTTCAGAAAATAGCAAGAATCAATTATATAAATTTGCTGTGGCTCTTTTGCATTAGCAGTACAATGCAGCATTGCACAGAAAGTATGCCTACAGTAGGAGAGATGTTATGAGTATAAGAGCAACATGTACATAACCTTTTAATGCAGTGGATGTTGATCATTGTAATTGGTGCAATGTATGAGAATGCATTGTTTCAGTAGTCCAAAATCCAATGATATATAATCGTCAAGCAACATGCAAACCTCAAACTTATCAGGCAGCTTAACCACTTCACAAACAAGACGAAAAAGGTCACCATTTGAAGATATCACATCTGAATAATTATCTGCTGTAGAAAGTGCTTCAACTAATCGAAGAATTAGATCAACAATAAAGAACCTGTGATGATCACAACAAATAAGTGTTTCCATGTGTACCAAATATTAGTTCTATATTGTCATGATAGAATATACTACTAACTGAAAGCTAATAAAATATGGTGATATGAACACTGTCTAAAAAGAACACAAAGAAAAGAAATCCGACTTAGCACTGAACAAGGTTATCAGGATCAGAAATGCAGCATCAGATGAGGATCATAAGATAACTTATATTTTTTTTTATAGCTGTGCATGTATTTTTAGATGCACCTACTCCCACACAGGCAAGAAATTCTTAACTTCAATTTGTTTCTCCTAAATATACTCTATTAACCTCCTTCTCGTCATACTTATCATACAGTGTCAGCATGTTACATTAGCTTCTTCAAAAGTTTTCTTCCTCTCTGTTTCAATAGCATCTTTTATCTGAGAGCTAATTACAGATTATCTCATATAATTAGCTATCCTTAACATTCCGATCCCTACATTTTCAAAAGTTATATTGGGATTTCTATACTTACAAAAGTGAAATATTAAGATCCCTATACAGGGTTATAAAGGTAATTTCATAGGGTTAAAAAAAAAGATTTTGTTGGAGTAACAAGGCTAAATATTTCACTTTCATAAGTATAGCGATCTTAATATAATTTTTAAAAGTATAAGAACCGATATGCTAAGGATAATTAATTACAAAGGATAATCTGTAATTAGCCCTTTATCTGATCAGCTTGACTACATTTCTGCTAATCATTATCCTGCACCACTGGATTATTTTCCTTTAATATGTATGAATGAGGGATTGCAAAATCACAGTATACCACTCATATCAAGCAGTATGTAACATTCAGCTAGGAGACCATAATGAAAACCACCCAGTTTAGGGCTATAGATAGTAAACACACCAAAAAAGCTTAGATATCACCTGTTTCAATCAGAACAGTCAAAAAGCTACTTATCTGACAAAATATGAACTTTGCCTTTTGAAACCTTAACTCTTTCCCTTTCCACTGCCACCTCCCTACTGCCACCATTGCCCATGGAATCTGGCTGGCCATGGGTTCTCTCCAGCCACCTTTCCTACTAATGCCCAATAAGGGCTAACACTCACAGCTTCAACTGCAAGTGAAAGATAAGTCTGGCATAATTTTTCTTAACCAGTACCAACTGGTGACTACCAGTATAAAGGATGCCTATGGCATATCATAAAAATCTAACCAACGAGTGGTACAGGGTTCAGTATCAAAAGCGCAATACACAGTTTGCACATGGAGGAACCTGTCTGATAAAAAAGAAACAGCCCCTATGTTATGTTCAGTAACTTTGTAGGCTGACAAGTTATATGTGTTCAAATTGTACATTAAGTAAAATTAGAACCCCTTAAATGATCTGATTATGAATGCAATATTGGACCTTACCAAAGCCAACAAATATATGCTATTGTAGCATCTTACTACATGAAATGAATCAGCTCCAATAAAAGTAGATTGGTGCAATAAAAAACATAGTACAGTCCATGGTTCACCTTATCAATCCGTACTGGCATACCGACCAGCTATTGGTATGGTACATATCGACATACTGACATATGATACATGGGACATACCGACAGACTAATATGTATCACCCATGCCAGTCCTCTATCGGATCGATTTGTACCACCTGTACCAGGCGGTATGCTGTGGTATGACGAGCCTTGGCACAGTCATCTCATGATTTTTCTAGCTACTGAATCATATCCAAAAAAAATCATAAGCATTACTCCTTAGAAAACATGGATGACACTTACTAAGCATGCCAAACTGTACTGGCTGGTATGTCTCATTTAGATGGGGTTCTGACATGAAATTATTCATATCTTCTGTACCTACATTTAACCAAACGAAGACCATGATGGAGCCCCACAAGCCTTGCCTTCTTTTTGTTTGATCCACTTAAATTTTCTGTCCCTTTATCTATACCTAAATCTTCTAGTCCCTCATGAACTAATATGGCATTGTCTTCTTTCCTGAAGGAACTAACTGATGTCGAACAAGATGAGAAGAGGATGAGAATTTGGGATCAGAGAAAAAGAAACGTTATTCTTTTCCTCAAAATAACTAAGAGCTAAGAGCCTAATAACAATTTATATATTTATATGGGTTAACACAAGATATTACCAGTAACATCGGTCAGTACCGACCAATATGACAGGTATTGCAAACCCTTTCCTTGAAAAAATGATATTCATAACCAAACATGTTTTAGAATTTCTCCAAAAATTGACTAGTTTAAAACCCACTCTGGCCAGCAGGTTTATTTCTTCACCCAAATGCCAAAGTTTACACTTTATTGTTTGTTGCTCCTTGGCCTTGTTCAAGATGTAACTGAGAGTAAGCTGAACACCACTAGAACCTAGAATCCTGTACCTATTGGCATCGAAGCTCATCTATATTTTGTAAAGTGTCTACCTCTAAACGTATTTAAGTAATGCTACATGTTCCTGAACCAGAATGCATGTTTAATGCCCTAACTTGGTAGCTAATATTTCCCTCTAAATCTCTAATATCACAGAACAAACATGCATACACATTAATCTTGGTTTGTCATAAAGTGTCTTCCACATATTTACTATAAATTATAAATTATGCATACATTCTAATTTTTCTGCAATCCCAAAGAAAAGCCATTAGACATACTTGCAAGAAATCAGGCTAAATGGTGCTTATTTTATGTATTTGATTTCTGGAAAAGATCAAGAAAATGACAAAACACAAATACAAGAGGTAAATAGTAGAGATACCAAATATGATATAGAAAATTGAAGCAACAAAAAATAACAGTTCCAAACATGAAACAGAAATGAAAAAGACTGCACACTTTTAATCAAGGGATTTGGCGACAAGACTGAACAAATAAAAGTTGAGGTAATTTAGTGGAACCTTTCTGGTTGGTTCACTTCCGTTGATTTGTTGGTTTCAGATGCCAACAGACTCACAATAAGATTTGGCAAACCCAGCTTCACCAAAGGCTGAAGAAGAATAACTCTCACTTCTTGATTATAAATTATAGCCAACAAAAAATCAATGCTCTGTCATTAGTAAAAGACATCAGGGAGTTAAAGGATATGTCATGAATCTGTACTAGAAGAACACGTAGCACCAAGTAAATTCATAGAAAATGCATGTCTTGTATTTCTAACTAAATGTTAGAAAATGAAAGATGAAACAAGACAACTGTTTCAGTTTAAAATTATGTAATAACATAGACTTCTTAACCAAGGTTTGACGTACCAAATCATACCGCTCAATACGGGTGGTACATACCGGTCCGATAGAGGACAGGTATGGGCGGTATATCAATACATCCCAGTGTACCATGTATCGGTACGCTCGATATAGCTTGGTACGTACCGTACCGATAGTTGGTAGATACACTGGAACGGACAGTAATGCGAACCACGTTCTTAAAACTGCTATTCTATTTCCTTTTAATCTCTACTATTTTTTTATCCAATTTACTTAATCTCCAATTTATTTCATTTAAATTTTAACAAGGAACAACATGTGGTCCTAAGAATGCATTATCAAACTACTTAGCATGGATAACTATGATACAACAGAATACTTTAATGGAGATAACACCAAATGAGTATGATACACAATGATCTTTGGCTTTCATTTCATTATTTTGGACGTCATATTAGCTAGCAAAGTAAATGTTAAGCTCTCTTAAATGGAGTAGTAGAAGGTTGATGACTTAGGAGTTTATAGAAACTAGAAATCCAAGAATATCTCAATAATGTAGACAAATCTGCTTCAAATGAACAGCTCAAATAACTCATATAGAACTCTAGATAAAGTATGATATCGAATGGAGATATTTCTTTATACCAGGGTGCCTCCAGGCGATGAATTCAAATAGTTGAGGATCATTTATTAGAACTAGTTTGCTGGAGAACAAGATGGATCAAGAATCTAGCCACACTTTGAGCACCTTTTGAACCTGCCCTTGTGCTGGTCTGAGAAAGATTTGCTTGTCAACATCTAGTGAGGGATGATTCCTGGCCTTCATAAAGAGGTGGTATACCACCTTGAACCTCCCAGTGGCCAAATTTTGGAAGGTGTTGTTGATAGCAAAATAGTGTTATCAACACCAGGTATTCTTAAGTGCAAATGTTTACACCAGGCACAAGAAGTTCTGGAGGCAAATATGTCATCTGCAGTTTCTTGCTACCTCAAACCTAATAGTAACCAAGCCTGTAGTTCATGCTTGATGGCACCTTATTGTCCTTAGTAGCAGTGCAATAAATGCATCAACTTGCAATAGACCACAAATACTCGGGTGAACACAAGATATCTCGATGCAAAGGCCATGACTATATTTAAGAATTCTTGAACTCTCCAAATGATACCTTCAATTAACCATTTTAATAATTCTTAAGCTCCTCAAACCATAGTTGTTTTAAAAGGCTAGATCTGAATGGATCAAGGCTAGATCCACGAAAATCTAGCCTCAGTACGCAAACATTTAACTTAAAACTATGCAGGCTTCATCCATTCAAATCGATGATCAATCTTTGCGGATGTAGCCTTGATATTCCTAGATGGCTGGATCTAGCCTATATTTGAATGCCTTGATCCAAACGAATCTAGCATTAATTTTGGTGCCACCAAGAACTTACGGACTTGATTATATGTTGATAACTCTTTTGTAGGAAAATGTCCTCAACATAGTAAAGTAATGATTTAGCATGGCAGAAAACCTGTCGCATGGACAAGTACCACCATCACTGACAAGTATTCATTGTGTCTACATCATACAAATTTGCAAAAAGATACCTCAAGATATCAGAAGGGCCTTCATAGCAAAATTTGATATCGGCGAACACTATGAATGCAGAAGAATGAACATTGGAAGGAATTTGATAGGCATGTTTTAGAGTCACATACATACGATGAGTACAAGGGTCGCGATGATGATGTCAATCCTGATCTTGCAGCCAGCATACATGGTCCCATGGAGCATCGGCACATTTAAAATGAAGTGATGAGACATAGACAGAGCAACTTATGGTATGAGTATGACAGGGGCAACCGTAGTGGCAGTGGCCAACTGAATTCAGTCGATTATTGATTATGAGTGCGGACCGCTTCCACTGATGCACAAGGCTTGGATAGGAGTTCTAGCATGAGGTAATTGGCTAACCCTTCTCTGTTGGAATGACCGTAAGCATGAGGCAGTCTGGGCTAGGGGTATTTATCAAATGATTTAGAAGTTGGAGAGTTCCTGATATGGTTGATCTAGATCCTACTGCTTATCAATTTTATATAAAACAAATATGCATAGACAACACACACATGAAGGAGAACAAGGTTATTGGAGAAGCAAGCTTATATAGCCCAAGGTCCTTACTACTAGAGCATGGTGTCCCCCATTCTAACATACAGCCTCCCACCCCAAGAGAGTCACTAAGTTAATGGAAGAAAAAACTAGTATTCATTCTCACTGTTGCCTAGTTTGCCTCTAGAATAGATATTTCTCAAAATATTTCCTTAATATCAAGCACACAAACATAAACCACAAATTCTGTTATAGTATATTGGACAGTAAGTAAAATGATATGATGAACTCTAGAGCCTCAGCATCGAGTTGCATGTGAATATAATACAAATAAGAATAGTATTCACATGCAATAGCCTGTACAAATGGATTTGTAGTTTTAGACACCAAAGTAAAAAAAGTGAAATGACGCCCTAGAAAGTCCAAGAAATTTAGTATTATGACAGAAATTATAAAAACAATTACCAAAGTCCAAGGTTGTCAACAATAAGATGAATTTCATGGCATTAATCTTAATATCTATAGAGCTTAATCAAATACATCAGTACCTTTTCTAGCAAGGTAGAATTCAGTGTGTTCCCAATTATCCAGAGTATACGTGAAAGAATTTGTTCAGGTTGCAAGGCTTCAGCGAAAGAGATAAAATTGCTAGTCTGGAGACTCACTGCTAACAACCTGTAATAGACACTAACATTAGATATGTTTAATGCCTTCAGTGCATCATGGATTTAGAGCTAATTATATCGGTTATTTCATGTTTTAACAGTTCATACATACAAAAAAAAAGGCAAAAGAAATGCTCCAGGTTTTATACTAGACAGCAGTTCAGCATTGTTACAAGAGAGAATCACCATTAAGCAAATAAAATGTCAGTAATGATAAATAAGGTAACGTAGATATAAATGTCAAAAGAGAAATGAACTTGAAAATCCCAAACATACTGTCAGGAGAAAGGCAAATACCTGCATAGAGTAAAAGTTCTTCAAAATGAAGAAAATTACTGTGATACATTCTAAAATTAATAGTCGTGGCACCTTTTCTTCACCTAGTTTTGCTTTCCCAACATATCAATCAGGAAATTTTGTTTCAACGCCTGATACCATATATTCTAAAAGTAATTCTTCTCATTTGTAGAAATTTTACTGGTATAATTATAATCCAATACCTGAATGCTTCAGAAAGGCAGGCAGAATCATCTCGAAACAACTGGTCAACAATTGTTTCAACCAAACCATTTGTAGAAACTATTGCATTGCTTAGGTTTTCATGGCAGGCTAAGTTTCCAATGATTCCCAGGCAAATTTCCTGCAGATAATTACATATTCAATGCTCTACAAAGCGATCATACAAAAGATTTATGGGGAAATTTAAATCTTGTGATATGTAATTCAATTTTAAAATAAACAAGAATCAACTCTGTTAGGTGCAAATTTCTCCTCACCACTTCTACCATCTCCTATTTCCATAGGAGAAAATTAGAAAGTTGTACGAGTTGCAGAAGCTTATACTGCAATCTCTAAGGAAGATTTTTTAAATCTCAAATACACCATATGATGCTCGATGCTAGATCCTAAGTGGCATATATTGAAAAGTTTGTAGGTAACCAGATATGTCCAAGATTATCTAATTAAGAACAGCCATTTAGACAATCTGATTATCCATGTACTAAAAAAAGAGTAATTTTTAAGACAAGATCTACGCTTTCATCTCTTTTTAAGTGCTGATGGCACATGGAATGGCACATTGTTAGAAGATAGGTCGATGCTTGTGCAATTGTGGTTACCAGTCCATGTTATATACAGCAATTTGGAATGCATGATAAAGAGATATGCACCTCTGTATCATGCCCCATGTTCACTAACATAGAATTATACAGTGCAGTAAACATAGTACATGGTGCTTCAACTCATGCTTCAGAACCATCCGATGCAACAACTATTTATATATTCCCATAATTTATGTATATAACAAACATCTTCAATAACTTCAGCATCTTACCACCACCCGGAAAGAATCAGTTACATGAAGATTGGTGAGTAGCACTTCAAGTATTAAATTGTTCACCTGCATTTTGTTAATTACAAATTATAACACATGAATAACCTTATTCATTTAAAATAGTTAACTAAAGTTACTAAACCTAAAACCAACAAGAACCACAATATATTTCCTTCAAACGTAAAAAAGAACTAAGAAAAGTTTAAAAAACAATCAATCAACAGAGTCAGAGACAACTTATAATTTTCACTAGAAATAGAATGCATCTAACGAATCAGTTAAATTAGAAGTGATGTCTATAAAAAACCTCAAAAAGATATATCAACGATATAAATGCATGCTTGTGAACTTAATCACAAAGAACCTACTTTTATGCAAGGTTCGTAAATTTGTACCATATCGGAGTAT